ATCACTTTCCGGCTGCCATTTTTTTATTTGTCAATCAATATTAACGAAACTTGGTAGGGTTGATATTCTAACGAAACGCCATTTTTATGCATTTATGACAAGTTTTGCTGCCTTCCGGTTTCACCGGAAATGACCGGAACTTTTGATTTTTAAATGGCACACCCTGTATATTTTTTGTTTTTCGGATTCTACAGATCGTTTTACGTCCTAATGCACCACGTTTGAATCGAGTTTTGTCCAAATTTTGTTTTTAAATTAAATTTTAATTTTTTAACTAGAGTGCCATGATCATCCTAAAATGACTCTACATACTTTACTTAATTTCAGAAAAATACAAACTCAATTTTATCTTTGTAAACTTTTTTGATAGAGAGCTGTAAACTTCATTATTTCAGTATTTTTGCTCTAGCTCAAAAACCAGAATAGAAACATATCACTTTCATAACATTATTAAATGCAGTATTTTGAAGCAAATCCCACGATATAATACACTACGATATTTTCCTTAATTTTCGTTCAAATATTTTTGTTTTTATGTAGGTATTTTTTTTTCCACTCGACTCGATTTAAAAGTGGTACATTAGGATGTAAAACGATCTGTAGAATCCGAAAAACAAAAAATATACAGGGTGTGCCATTTGAAAATCAAAAGTTTTGGTCATTTCCGGTGAAACCGGAAGTCAGGAAAAGTTGTCATGGATGCATAAAAATGGCGTTCCGTTAGAATATCAAGCATACCAAGTTTCGTTGATATCGATAAACAAATAAAAAAATGGCAGCCGGAAAGTAATCTCGTGGGCACCCGGTATATGCATATTGCAGTTAGGAATAACTATCGCTACTAAAATAAACCTGGTGTAACAACCACTACATACATCTATTAGCTTTAATTTTGAAATTTAAACTAACTTTTCCTCTTCCCATATCTCCAAGCAAGGGTGGAAGCTGGTAATATGTAATAGCGTCTTACGTCGAACCCACAAAATATATTATATATTATAGGTACATATATAAATTATAATCAAACGTAAAACTAAACCGAATTGAACCTGAAGCAATAAATTTACTTTGAATTAAAAAAAATTGAACTCGCATTATTGAGTCTACATCCTGTACTTTCAGAGGTTACCAGTTATATTTCGATAGAGGGTGTTTATTTTTGTCTCAAATTATTGTTTTATGTTTCAAAACAGTATTCATTTGAAGTCGAATTCAAATTAAGAACATTCAACTAGAACAAATTTTGCTTAAAACCTTGAGTTTATTCTGCAGTCTGAATCGACGACATTTTAAAATAGTTTATTGAATTAAAATATAGGTTCAACATCGTTTTTCCCATAAATTAGCATCAAATTCACCCCGAAATAGAATCTGTGTTTAATAAAAGAAAAAAAAAAAGAAAAAGAGCAAAAAAATAGGAATGGCAAAGAAAATGGCCGGGATAAATTATGAGCAATTGTTTTTTTTTTTTAAATTTTTTTGCCATATTGACATACGAGTTGCTCTTCTTCAATCATCCATTTCGGTAACTCTGAATGATTTTCCTAATCTTTGTTTAATCGGCCATACTTCGGAACGATAAGTAACTAATTGGATTTTCGACCATAGTATTATTAATTTGCTACTTTTTTTATTTATTGATATATTTTCCCTACAAGATCATAGCTCTCCTACCAATCTTGATTCATTTCCTTATATCCGTATTCCCAGGGATCCGCCGTAGGTGTGGTTTATTATTGATTCAACTTTCAGTACCAAATCTTGCTGTTGTCCACCTTAGCACATAATATACTACGTTCTATCTATGTTGACGTCAAGTTCCCAATTTTTTGTATTCACCTTTCAGTTACCGTGTCATATAGTTTAAATTTTGGTATTCTGGGGCTATTAACACCCGATCATCCGCGAAGCATGAACTGTATAGATTATTCTTGTTTAGTGGAGGGCCCATCGTATAACATTTTCGTTTCCCTCACAGTTTCTCTTCCAAATATATATTCAAAAGAGCTGGAGATATTATGCAGCTTCCCTGTTTGAAGTCCTATGTTAGTACAAAAACTTTGGCAAGCTGGTTTCCTGTTTGGATCGTGGAACTGTCACAATACTCTATGCTTAAGATCTATGAAAAGTAGATATATTTCTTGGTTTAACACATGGTGAGTGGAACTATATGCACTGTAAATTTGCTAGCTCAAAAACCTGCTTGCTTTCCTGCTAAGTATGGTGAACTCGGTAGATATCGTCCATTATTTAGAAATTTTTGATTCATTCTGGCCCTTTCGCAGTAACGCCGCGACGTAAGATTTCTGGAGAGTATTTTGGTTCCTTATTCAAAGAGTTGACTTCTAGGATTGCATATTTTTCAGATTTTTAATTTTTTCATGTTTCGCATTCTTTCCTGTTCCATTTAGGGCCAGTTTATTCACCTCTGATAAACTGCTAGTGCAGCAGTTACCAACAAATTTATCTGAAAATGAATAAACCGGAACTTAGTCAGAATTATTGAAGATCGAATTATTTTAATGTGTTACTTTATCTGTTGTTGGCATTTTTGAAACCCGCACATCTTAGAGGTAGTCTCATGAAATACTCTTTCCGCCTCTCTGTAAAATCTGATCAGAAAGAACGCATTTTCAATTTATTGCAAATACGTAAGACACCAGGACAGAGGTCCTGACTTATTCAAAAATATTATTTGGACAGATCAGTCAGTCATATTTGGAACTCGTCTCGCGAAAAACATGGCGAATCCAGAATTGTAGCATTGGACATCTCCAAGGGTTTTGATGAGGTGTGGCACAAAGGTCTCCTCAGCAAACTTCGGGTCTTCCGAACGAATTCAACGAATTTAGCCATAGGCCAGGGAGCTTTTTGGAAGGCATGTTGTGGTCGATGGTGTGTTTTCTGATATACTGCCTATAAATGCCGCCATTCCCCATGTTTCAATTCTGTCCCCAACACTGTTTCTCATTTTTATAAATGATTTGTTAAATGTGACAAGAAACCCCATATATACAGCTTTGCGGATGATAGTAGCTTCATAGCGTCTTTCGCTCCTGACAAATTGCTTACTGCAGCCACTTTCCCTTGCCTCGCCCGAAACAGATTCACTATATCAACAGTGATCTTAACACCATTACCGACTTGGGCCTTAACAACCTAGTCAAATTCAATGCTTTCAGAACTGAAGCAGCAGGTATTGTCAACTAAGAAATCTTCCGCCGATGATAACCCAGTTCTAAGGAAGTCGGAACAAACACCTTTTATCAATCCCTTCGGGTGACCGCATCGATCAACTCGTCTTTGCATGACCATGTAACGATCGCCAAAGCCGTTCCTCAGAAATTAGGTTTTCTGTTCCGTGCAAAAAACTTCTGAACAACTTCTTCTCCTTTATCAGGCTCAAATCAGACCATGTAAGGAATACTATTCCCATATCTGGAGCGATGCTCTCAAGCATTCGTTGGCTCTATAAGAGACAGTACAAAAAAGAGCAATAAAAATGATCGATAATTCATCTCTCACCGATTCATTACAATCTCTCGAACATAGACGTAAGGTGGCCGATTTGTCATTATTATATAGCTATTACCATGGGGAAAGTTCTGATGATGTGGCCAGCTTCATTCCAGTTAGAAGAAGTTACTTAAGAACAACAAGAACCTCACAGGCATCCCATCCGTATTTGGTTGAGTTTGCTACCCCGAAGACCTCTAAATATAGGGCTTCTTTTTGGTGGCGTACCTATACCACCTCTGGAATTTCTTGCTACTTCATTTCATGAACGATTTAACCTTAACATGTTCAAATGGAGGGTTAATCGTCACTCAATTTCTTCCGCTCATGGTACCGCTGAGGTAGTATAGACTTTTTCTTTTGTGAGCGGACCAATATAAACCTCTATTACCTCAGGGATGTATAACAGACATAACACCAATTTTTCGTCTCAAGAAACCCACAGATATTAAACTATACAATTTCTAGTAAGAACATCAGTTCATGTCTGGTAAGGTATTCTAAATCCCAAGAATTATTGGTCCAATTATTTTTTAATGGTCCATTAACTGGTCAAATATATTTCGATTTTCTCGAAAATAGCATTGATAACCTTCCGTAATGGCATATCGAAATATTATTTGACAGCAGGATGGAGCTCTACCTCATGCATTTCGCAATGTTGTGGAGTTTTTGAACAAACACTACGAGGAGTCGATTGGCCGTAATGGGACTATCAGCTGACCACCAAATAGTCCTGATATAACGGCAGTGGACACTTTCATGATGAGGTGATCTAAAAAATGTTGTTTACCGTCAAAGAAGCCGAGATAGTATTCAAGAAATTGAAATAATTAAAGTTTAAAATGAAATGAATCAACTTGATGGAGAAAATCATATTTTTGCAGAAAGTCTAGAAAAATTGAAAACGGGTCACTTTGAGATAATGGAGACCATATTGAGCATCACCTTAATCATTTCTTTCCAAAAAAATTAAATTAGGTAATTTCGTTTCGTTTTCGTTTCCTAAATTGCACTAAGTATTCTATCGAAAAAAATTCATGAAATTTTGGATTTTCTCAAATTTTTGAGAGGGAAAGTCAAAAATTTTCCCCTGTTCAGTCCTCGTTGGATGACCATGTACATATTTCTTTTCCTATTATCAAACCACTTACCGCGTGGAAAACATGACCAACATCAACAGACAAATCATTAAAAGACGCTTCAGTAAGTCAAGTTCTTCCACACACGATGCACTGATGCAGCAGCATCAGCATGCAGCAGCAAATCTTCAAACCACTTCTCATTACATTATACATTGTTCGTTCCTTTCCGCCGCCCCTCGTAACAACGGAAAGGCCACATAAGATTAGAGAGAGACTGGACATTTAAAAAGAGACCAATTCAAGTTTAAACTAGGAAAATTCAGCAACGCGCGGGACGCGCGGCGAAGGGCAACGGACAAAGACGAAATATTTCGCCGACTATAAAAGGAACAAAATAGCCCCGAACGCAAGAAAGAAAAAGACAACGCGGGTCATCAGACAAAGAGACTGGCCCCGACAGAGACAGTCAATATATTCGGGCCTCGAAATTAATACGTTAGAAAAGAATAAAAACAGGCCGTAAAGAGAGACCCCGACACCTCTGAAAAGAGAAGGCCTAGGCTCCTAGTAATTTAAAAGATAGACGGAGTTACGCGCGCGCCGAAGGAGCGACGAAGAACAGAGATAATAGGGATGCACGACGGTCTAGTAGGCGAGGGAAGGGAAAATGCAAGTGCATGCAAGTGCCGAGTGGCGTCGCACTTGTTGCGTCACGATGTGACGTTACTACAGTAGTGATACAGACCACCATTCATACACAACACATTACTGCAATTTTCAAACGAGCGAACCGCGCCAACCTCAACCAACATGTAAACGCAACGCAAGCAAAGTCGAACAAAGTAAGCCGGTTTCGTTTATTCGCTCTCTGCAATTACTCGAATTGCATTCGTGCGACTCAATAATTTCCGTTTTTGTGTTTCAGATTCACGATGGTGAAAAAATCACCCAGACCGCTGCCATCTCGGAGTTGCTGAACTTAGACCCTTCAACCCCTTCAAGTATTTCCGAAAAGTTTTTTTTAAGTGCGCGCGGACCTTATTCATTTTGACTCTTTCCAATTACAATTATTATCAATCAAGTGTGCCGTGGAAAAAACAAAATAACTTTTAGAAATAAGTATACGGACTTAACAACTACTTTATAACTTATTAATTGGAACTTAGTAAAGAATCCGTTATTGTGCTATTGGGACTTTAATGACACAGTAGCTGGACTTTAAATAAGTAAAGTGCGGACGCATAAGAGAAATATCCATGATAAAAGTTTGGTGTAATGATTAATGCGAAGCAATGGGTAATTGGAAATTATTAAGTTTTGTAGTTAGTGTAGCAAACTTAATGCCGCTCGTAAAAAATGGCGGAGTGTTCTTACGCGAGATGTGTCCAGCAGCGAAGAAATATTAGAAGAGAACTCCAACGATGGACCAAAAATATGGTTCATATTGTCGGTGAGTAACCTTATTTATTCATATTCATATTTTCTTTCCCCAGTATAAACGGATCGATACCGCTTCGCTTAAATCTGAGAAAACTTTGCGAAAAGCAACGGAATAACCTGTTGACTGTAGGATTTTCCTCGTCTGTCGGGAAATTATTTGTTTTGCATTTTACGACCTCAACCCAAATTATAGCATGAGATTTTCCGAACATATTCCTTTTACAAATTATTTCGAGGTTCTGCGGACGAAAATTAATTTTTGGAACAGTCGGGGTAGGGGATTCCTTTGGCGCATTTAATGATTTTTAAGATGCAGTTTTTGTATGCGTCGTAGCCGCATTTTTCTATAACGGCGCCGCCGAATTATTTTTCTTTTTATTTTCGTTCTTGGGAAATTCGCTATTTCCGATAAAGTTTAGTCTCGCCCTTGTTCGATTTTTGAGAGTCGGTAGGGTAACTGGATGCAACAGAGAAAAGCGCATTTTTTTTAACAACAGCTTTTATCAAATATTAAATTCCACATACATGATATTTTAAAATTAAATTGTATAAAATGTTTCATAGAACAATTTAATTTATTGTTCAAAAATAACAAGATTTAATTTTAATATAGAAATGAACTACCAACCCAACCTCTACTTAGGCCCGGTTTATTCATTTTCAGGATAACTAAAAATTTACCCTTCTATAATTCTATTGGTAGCGGATAATAGGCCGACCAATGAGACCAAATTGCGTTTTTATCTATCTGATCGCATACCTGACAGTTTATCAGAAGGTATTTCAATTTAAAACTTTTTTTCAACAACTCGAATTAATTTATATCAAATAGGGTCAATGTGCCTAATTGCAATATTCACAAAAATTTCAACTTTAATATACCTATTAATAAAAATAAAAACTATCTATTGCCGTTTATTTTGCAATAAATTTATATTGGTTCTTCGAGGATTACAAATCATGAATTTTGTCTTCTCATTTTTTAAGAAATCACTTAATTAAGGAATAGCAAATTCCGGTTATACAGATCACATTTTTGTTTTATGTTTCGACCCTTTCTAATAATCATCATTTTTGTTTCATTTCAAACGCCTGATTATTTCGATGCGAATCATTAAATGACAATGGAGTCCCTAGAAATGCTGAAATTAAATGGTACATATTAGAAATAATACATATTGCCCAGTCTTCTCCAACATTGAAATCTGAAGATGTCCCCACAAAAGTGATTTGGAAATGTAATGTTATTGTTCTTATAAAACTTAAACCCAGTTTAAATTTTTTTGTTGCGTTTCAACTGCTTTAAACATTAATAATTAAATTCAAGAATTTCGTACTTTATACTTATCAAGTATTCCTTTATGCATTAACTTCCTTGAGCGTTAGATATTCAAATAAAATTCATAAAATTTTATCTCTTAACCATAAATACAATAAAATAAAATAGAAATAACTTATGTATATACCATGTACTTTTTAGTAATTAAAATACGAGAATCGTATTAAAAAGAGAAACACAAAAAGACATTGCTTAAAAATTGGTACCTCCAACATACCAGATTTCCATAGAAATGGCTGATAGTGGCTCCCTTTGACCAACTTTATTTGATTTTTTGTCCGAAAGTTCGTTTATTTTCTGGCAAGAGGAAAACTATTTCGCGTAATCTATGAAAAAAAAAACTTTATTTTTACTATTAGGTAAAGTTGAAAAATTGAGAATAGTCATATTGGTCTAATTTACTTATTTACTGCAGCTGAAAATCTTTCAAATATGATGTAAACTTTAATTCTAGTTACCATCAAAATCTACGTCCATCAACTGAGCGAAACAACTTCAAAAAATCGCCTCAAATTTTCAATTCCACAACTACCTACCTTATTAGTGGCAAATTCCAGGTGAAATGGCAATTCGAAGTTGTTTTGCACATCCAAAATCTGAACACGCCTAATAAGTATATTAGGTGAATGAGCAAAATTCAAAATTCACTTCGATTGATCAAAAATTATCTTTTGACAAAAATTTTGGAAAATAGGTAGATTATTTTCAAATTAGAATTATTGATTTGAAACATTACAGAATTATTCAATGCAACTCTCAATTTGAAATAATTTTTCTGAAACGTATTTAAAACAAAGCACACAACATGTGTGTCGATGACTAACTTTTTTAGATAATATAGGGTCGTTATACCATAACATATTTTGAACACATATTTATAACTTTATTGACTCGGACGTTAATCTCTGTTGCTAATTATTGCAAAACTTTAACTGCAGTTAACTCGATCAAAAATTTAGGTACACAGTTTTTGTTTTCATTTAATTATGATAAAATAGGAAAAAAAGTACCCCAGTAACATAAAATGGAATATATTTAGGTCAATACAGTACCTAGGTGAACCTACAAGGGTTTTCATGATATCAATTTACTCTAGCTCTGAATAGGATATTCCTAATAACCAAAGGACATCGCACACATCTTATGGGTTTTCGGGGACCGGTCGATTTTTTTAAAAATTTGGTATGTTGTAGTACTAGTGAAAACAAGTATTTTTCATCATTGCGCAAAATCTCTAACTATACAGGGTGACCCAGTAAAGTAGGTTCGAAAATCATAAACCAAGCCTTTCTATTATCGGTATTAGCGCACCCTGCAAGCTAAATATCGAGATTTTTGTTTTCGATTTCGCAAATAAATAGTCAGATAAGCCTAATATACTATACAGGGTAGCTGAGCTTGCGTATTTTTTTAGAAATCCTGCCTTATTTTTAGAACTAGTGTTACCAAAAAGGTTGCGCTGGATTTTATTTAGCTGTAACTTTTTTAATTTTTGTCCGATTTAAAAAAATGTGGTATCAAAATAAAGCCTATATCACAGGGATGTCATGAAATCTAAAAAAATTAAAAATGTGATAAAATTCGAGATGGTTGAACCTGATAAAAGTATAACTTTTCATTCGATTAGGGTCTTGGATACACCGAATACACCTAAATTAAGGGGCGGTTCCTCAATTGCGAGTAACTCTACGGGTTAACCGAGGGGTTAACTAACCCGGTGTTAATTTCAACCTTGCAGGTTAACTGAGGATTGTGTTTCTCAAGCATCCACTGTAGGTGGAGTTAATAAACACTGGGTTAAGCAATAGTTGGTAGCATTATTGTTTACCAGAATGGTGATCCTAACATATTTTTGATTGGTCGAAAGTAGTCACGCATGGGTCGATCGTCAAATTAGCCCATTCACAAAACTTTTTGGAGTTTGTTGTTAAGTTAATGATAAGTTCGAGTATTCTTTTTGGCGCACCGTTTTTTCATTACAATTTGTTAATTTTTGAAGAGCGTGGTTAATGCAGTGTGTGTAGTCAATAGTCATGGAGAAGAAAGATATCGCAAGAGGAAAAAACTTCCTTGAATTAGAAAAAATAATAATAATCAAGCTATAATATAAGCGAAATATAGGGTGCACGAGGTCAGACATGAACTTTTAATCCTTTGTAGAGAAATCCTAGTCATCGTATTTCTCGAGAGGATTAATCCTTTGGCGGATTATATGAGGCGTTTTTCCTACGAAATTGTAGAAATCTTCATATCTTCATCAATCAATCCATATATTTCTATTTTGAAAAAAAAAAAAAATATTACCACAAAATTGACAAATCACGATCACGAATCATAAGGTTATCTCAAAGGGTAAATCCATAAATCCATAAATCGCTAAACCCGCAATATCATCAACAGTGATCCAATTTAACCCAAGGTTACACCAAAAGTTATAGCTAACTCGCTGTGGAGAAACGTTTACCCTGGAGTTATAATCAACCCGGAAATGACTCGCTATTGATAAACCGGCCCTAATATAAGTAACGTATTTGATGGATACTTCACATTGTTCTCATGTCGAGCGTAGCTAAAGTACCTAACAACGCGATAACTTTGCATGTGCAGTATGTGCCCAATACTGGATTCCCTCCATCCAGCCCAGGGGAGAACAAAAATGATACAAACAGAAAATCTCTGCTTACTTATCTTGTGTGAACCCCGAAAATATTTAGATATATTCGGAAAGTTTTAGTTCATGAATACTCAACAGTGAGAATAGAAAAATTAATATAATTTTCATGTAAATCGACTTAAGGCCCACCCCACCACCCCTAAGTTGGAGGTTTTCTCTTTGAATCCTTTCATGTAGGGCATTTTCAATATTTTGCACTAGTCACAACATTCTGTGTTAAACACAGATTTCAAATGTCCATCTAACATGTCTTTGTAATCTTACGAGTATTATTTGCTTCCTCATAGATGTAAATTATTGAAGATGTCTGGCCAAAAAAGGCGATATTTCACACGAATTCTGAGATTTTTCATTTTTTCAGATTTCATGACATCCCTCTGTGATGTAAGCTTTATTTTGAGACCAGATTTTCTAAAATCAGACAAAAATTGGAAAAGTTACGGGCAAATTAATTCCAGCACGACCTTTTTCGTAATACTATTACTAAGAATAGTGCAGTATTTCTAAAAGAATACGTAACGTTAGCCACCCTGTATAATATATTAGGCTTATCTAGACTATTTATTTGCGAAATAGAAAAAAAAAACCCGATATGTAGCTTGCAATGCGTGCCAACATCAATAAATGAACGGCTTGGCAATGATTTTCGGACCCACTTTACTGGGTCACCCTGTATAGTTAGATATTTTGCGCAATGATGAAAAATATTTATTTTCACTAGTACTACAACATACCAAATTTTTAAAAAAATCGACCGGTCCCCGAAAACCCATAAGATGTGTGCGATGTCCTTTAATTTTTAACCTACATACTCTAGGTATTTTATAAAAATTTCATACTTCAGCTGTGGTGCTATGACCGATTGCCCTATGTTTGTTACTACTGATAGCGCCAATACACAAGCACAGTCAATTCCACGTTTTTTTTTTTTATCTATGAAAAAAAAATGCAAAAAATTGTAAAACCCTAAAAGACTTAGTGCCGGTACTTTTGCTCT